CGAAGACGGAAAGGGAGAAGGTTAGAAAAAACCCTATTGTCCTGGGTCGGAGTTGGAAGGATCAGTATGAACTTACTGTTAATACACAGAGAGACAGATGTAGAAACATAAATGGACGAAGCAGGTGTTTTTTTCTTAGATCTGACCACACCAGTGATGTAAGGACACCCCAGTAACAATGAACAGGCCAAACACCAGATCCTGGTTTCTAAATATCAGATTCCACAAGAAGGAACCAGGTTCCTTGGAGAAATGGCCGATCCCAAGGCTGGTCCAAGGAAGATACAGATGAAGCCGAAACATCTCATGACAGAAAGGAAGGGCTCAAATTATGACGGCGACATGGCCCGAGAAGACCAAAGCCAGTCTGAAGCGGCTCCCAAGACCAAATCTAAAACATCAGTATCAAAATAATGGTAGTAAAAGAGGATCACTCACTGAATACAAGAAGAGTCCGAGTCTACGGGGACACGAATAACCAGCAGGAAGGCGGGTGGCCTGGCTGGCTCAGTCAGCAGAGGGTCCAACTCTTGGTCTCAGCTCAGGTCTTGATCTCAGGGTTGTGAATTCAAGCCCTGCACTGGACTCTATGCGGGGTGTGGAGCCTACTTAAGTAAATTAATTTAAATCCAATTAATAAACAGGAAGGGAAAGCTCAGAATTGAGTGCCAGTTAGTACACACGGGGAGTAGAACTAGAAAATCGCCATTGGCTGGTAAGGATCATCAATGGATCCAGTGGGTAAGTCCGACGAGAAACAGGCTGTTTGTATGGTCCCACAGCATCTACTCCGAAAAGGCTAATTGTACACGACGGAACAGTCTGCAGTAGAGAAAGCTGGCAGACCCTTTGACCAACTGGTGAAAGTCAACAGCACCAGTAGTGGGACCAATAGGCAGCCTGATGCGAACAGAGGAGGACACATCATCACTGTCCTGCCAACTCCTGCCAAAAATGCAGAGCCTGAATCTGGTCACAAGAAAGCGTCAGTCGCCCAAGTGTAGATTTACACTCTACAAAGTCACTGACCTGGCCTCTTCATCAATGTCAAGGGTGTGAAAGACAAAGACAGACTGAGGACTGTTCAGGTTAAGGAGGCCAAAGAGACATGGAACTAAATGCAGCAGGTGGCTGGACTGAATGCCGGATGGAAAACAGTGGTTTCTTTTGCTCTAAAGGTCACTATTGGGATGATTGGGAAAATGTAATAAGGTCTGCAGATCAGGTAATAGTAGTATGCCAATGTTAGTTTCCCGATTTTGATCACTGTATTGTGGTTGTAGAAGAGAATTCCTGGGGCACCTGGGTGGCTCAGTTAAGCCTTTGCCTTAGGCTCAGGTCATGACCCCGGGGTCCTGGAATCGAGCCCCAAGTCAGGCTCCCTGCTCAGCTGGGGAGTCTGCTTCTCCCTCTCTCACTCTCTCTCAAATAAAAAAATCTTAAAAATTTTCTTCTTAAAGAATTCCTTGTCTTTTTGGAAATAAACACTAATGTCTTTAGAAGTAAATGCGTATTTGCAATTTTCAAACAGTTCATATACATGTAGATACAGTCCAGGGGAGAATGAGAGAATAAGGTTAACTGATAAAAATCCTACTATATTTGGGGGTGGGGCTGCCTGGGTGGTCAGGCAGTTGAGCTTCTGACTCTTGATTTTAGCTCAGGTCCTGATTCAGGGTCATGAGATCTAATGCCGAGGGCTCTGTGCTCAGCAGGGCGTCTGCTTGTGCCTCTCCCTCTGCCCCTCCCCCCACTTGTAATCTGTCTCCCTCTCTAAGAAATAGAATCTTAGGGGTGCCTGAGTGGCTCAGTGGGTTAAAGCCTCTGCCTTCGGCTCAGGTCCTGGTCCCAGGGTCTTGGGATCAAGCCCCGCGTCAGGCTTTCTGCTCTGTGAGGCGCCTGCTTCCTCCTCTCTCTCTGCCTACTTGTGATGTCTGTCAAATAAATAAAAATCTTCAAAACAAATTTTAAGATAAATAAAATTTTTAAAAAAGAATCTTTAAAAAGTGACTATTTAGGGAACTAGGTAAAACGGATGGAAATTCTTTGCAGTGCTCTTGCAACTTTTCTGAAAGTCTGAAATTATTCCAAAACAAAAGCTTAAAAATAAAATAAATGCGGGATAAGGGCATGAGGAATTATCCAGCGTAGTCTGGGGGAGTTAACAGCTCTTGGGGGTGTGGTGGTCATGCATAGAGAAATGGGTGCCTTGTGGGAGCCATGAGTTGCCCCGTAACTAGAGGATCAGATGTTCTTCGCCAGAGCTTTTCCAAACTTCACCTGGAGAGGGCTTTCTGTTGTTTTGTTCTTTCCACACACACCCACCCACCCACCCACCCCGGTGGAGGCTCTCCTGCAGGTCTAGGTGGGGTAAAGCCTGCGTTTCTAATAAGCTCCAGGTGACACTGATGCGGCTTTCCTGCCGGTCCGGGTATTGCCCTTTGAGTCACCGGGGTGGAGGGGGGGGAGGGGAAATACAGCTGCGACGCTGCCCACAGGTTCTCCAGCCTGGCTGCCCCTAGGGACCCTGAGGAACCTGCTTTCATTGCTCTTCCCAGTGGATTCTCCCTGGCAGCCAGGATTAAATCTTTACTTTGATGCCCCTGCCTTTCCATCATCTCAGATTGAGACCCTACATCCGGGTATCACCCTGGCTTCCAGAGTGGCATTGTCTGCGGCTGCTGCCTCCATCAGACGCCCAGGAGCCCGAGGACTCTTCCTGGTCGACCACCACGGTTTAAGCACTTGCACACAGGTCATGCACGAACCCTTCCCCAGGCACCAGGCCCTCTGCGATGGGTCCACGACCTCCCTTTCCTAGCTGCTCTCCAGGGCTCCCCCCTGGATGCTCCGTTCCCAGCAGAGCTGTTCACCCCCCTGCAGCCCAGGCTCCATGTGCACCTGTAACCACCTCACATGCACACAGCGTTGATATCTGGTCTCACTCCCGCGTGAGAGCCGTCCTTTGGTTCCTTCCTCCTGCTTAGGAAGTCACAGGGCCCCCACCCCCACCGGGCCCACCCCAGGGCTTAAAACAGAGGAGCCAGCGTCTCCGCCACTGGGCCACAGGTCACCCTGTTCCTGTTCCCATAGGACAGGGCTCAGCAGCCTGCCACATGTGGGCAAGGGCAGAGAGGGGACAACCTGGGTGTCACCCTGAAATTCTGTCCGGGCACCCAATTCCCCATCCCCGGGCCGCCTCCCCACCCTCCCTCCTTCCGAGCCTCCGACCTGGAGAAAATACGTCACAGGGAGATGCCACCAGGGTTGTCCCCTCAGGGGAGGGTTTGGCCCAGGAGAGAAGCCTACATTTGTTAGGAGCTTGAGAAAGGGACCCGGGAGGCACAAGAAGACCGTCCCCTTCTGCAGTGTTCTCCTACCTCCTTCTTGGCTCCTCCCACCGCCGCAGCTGGGCCTCTCCAGGCCTCACTTGCCCTGAAAAACACTTCCTCGTGACCCAGCACCACCCACCACCCACCACCCACTGCCCCCGTGCACGGAGCCTGCTGGAGCTCATTCCTATTAATGTGCTTGGCTGCCTAGGGATGGGCTGCGGTAATCATGAAGATGAGGAGCTGTGCCTGGGCCTCAGTTTCCAGGAGAATCACGGCTGGAGTCGGAATGGGGAGCAAGGGCCCTGGGCTCAGAGCAGCTGCGGGACAGCCAGCCTCAAGTCCCCAGAGGCTTCTGAGGAAGACGACTCCACCATGCCTCTGGTGCCTGCCCAGCTAGTTGTCTCTCCTTTGGGGACATCCAGGCAGAAACTTCCAGGAGAGGCTCATCCCACCCTCAGGAAAGGAAGATGTCCCCTTCCTCCCATTAAAGCTCTTGAGGCTTTGCACTCTCAGTTTCCCTGCAGATCCTTTTTGGCTGAGTGTTTCCATTACTCAGGCCTGCTGAGTTCCAAATGGATAGGAACTTAGAAGTGGATATGAGGAAGCCCCCTAACAAAGAGTAACACCCCACTCCCAAATCTGGGAATGTCCTTCCCACTCCATCCCGTCTCTCTAGTCTCAGGCTCCACGCCCCTCCAGGAAGAAGCTGTCCTCATGGTGCCGGAGCCCCCACGGCCATCCCCCCCAACTCTGTCCTCCAGACTCCCGTGGGCTGCTCCGTGCAGGTCAATACCTGCCCCCTGCCCGGTCTGCCTGTCTCCCAGGCTGCTGTAAGAGCTATTTGCCATGAACGTACTTTCCCACTTGTTTACAAGAACCATCAATTTCCAGTCCCCAGTCAGTACCTCACAAATAACGTTAGGGTCACTTTTGGGTAAAAGAGGCAATTTGAGTGTGAAAATATTGTAGTTTTCAGTTATAGAGGAATTATGGAAGAAATAAGTAAAAATATTTGAAATCGATGCTAAGAAAATCCGAGACATATATACAGGCACTGTGTGTATATCCTCTTACATCTCCAGGCTAATCACCCGTGGAACCCTAGGAGCTTCCCTCTCTTTGACATTTGCTCCCCGTTTTACCCAGTCACTCACATCCATTCCATTCATCCCCAATCAACACATTATGTGGTTTTTTTTCCATGAGTCAATTTTTATTGGTTTTTGAAGTAAAGAATTATGGGCATAAGGCTCAATGAGTTTCAGAGCAAATGACAGAAGGAAACTACATCATACAGGTAGGTGGGAAGACCCAGCAGGGAAGACTCCCAGGGCAGCTGTGACCCTCACCCACAAGAGCTGGGTCTTGCTTATGAGGACCTTGTAGCCCGGACCCAGCCCAACTGAGAAGGACCGCATGGAGCTGGAAGGGACTGAGCCACATCTCAGGGGATCTGAAGAGGTACCCCAGTCCTCTCTGAAAGACAGTCATTTCTAGTCATCTTGGAACCTTCCGGTCTTAAATCTTTGCCACCAATAGCAGCTTGACCACTATGCGGACTCTTCCCTCCCTCTGAGATAGCCAGCCTGTTCTCCCTCACCTGTGCCAGCTCAGATGGAAGCCTCCCCGACCAGGGACAGAAGAAGGCCCCTGCACATGGAGGAGGAGGGAGAGGAGGAGGCAAGAGTTGGTTCCAGAAGGCTGGCAAAACCCAGTGACCCCTGAGGCTATATGCCCTTCCCTTCCACTGTGGTGGGTCCTCCCACCGATGTTTGGGGGGTAAAGGAAAGGGGACTTCTCAGTAGGAGAGCTCCTGTCCCCCCTCCCCCGAGGAGGGCTCCTCCTCTATGAGCTCCAGGTCGAACTCATCTTCCAGGGACCCTCCAACAGGCAGGAGGCGGAACTTCTTCCCCTTCAGGGTGCATGTGCGATGCTCGAAGTCCAGGACGGCGTTGTGGTCCTGGAGCACGTCAGTACCAATGATGGCTTCTTCAGCACTGGCATCGGCCACTAAGAACTCTGCCTTCAGCTTCAGCTTCCCCAGGGACACCACTGTATCCCAGATGCCCAGGATCTTCATTTCAGCCCCATTGGCCACTTTTACCACATTCTCAAAGGGCCGCAGGGTGTCCAAGTCACCATCCGTGACCTCCTCCCACAAGCTGGGGTGGACCACAGACACCTGAGCCCCGGAATCCACCAGGAACCTCACAGGCACCTTGCCAATTTTCCCCTTGAGGTAGTAGCCCTTACCCATGCTGTTGGCAAAGACGATCTCCTTGGGCAGGTGGCTGCGGGAGGCCCCAGGCCCACCGAAGGCTTTCAGGAGGGTCTCTCTCACAGCACCATAGTCTTCCTGGTCCTTGGGGCTGAGTCCACTATAGACCTCCAGGGCATCTCCCCTGAGAGACTCTTTCAGGAACCTGAGTTTGGTGGCGCGGTCCCAGTGGTTGAGGTCGTTGATGACCTCGAAGCGGTGCAGCCAGAGGTGTGGGGCTATGTTGGCTCCATCAAAGGGCTCCGGAACAAAGGCATGCTCCCGACGGCCCTCCTGGCTCCTGGCTCCGCTCCCCGCCATCCCTCTGCCCTCCTCTGGAACTGCAGCACCGACCCACGCCAAGTAGAGAAAAGCGCAGAGCAGTGTGGGCGCAATCACGCTGGAGAAGAAGGCCTCTCGGAGCGGAGTGTTGTTTGCTGCCCGTCTGGGGCAGGCAGAGGGGGCCCGGCGCGAGCTGTCCGACTGACTGCTGGGCACGGAGGCAGGCAGCTACTCTGACCTGCTCAATCGGCAGAGCCTTTTTGATGCCTAGCCTAGGCCCCCAGGGCTCCCCATTCTCCTTTGTTCTGGAAGCCACGCCCTTGCTCAGCCCTCCCTCCTGCCAGCATCCTGCCCAACGAGCAGGATCAGTGCCTCACCCTTCTGCATCCATCGCTGGGACTGGTATAGGCCAGCCCACGGTGCAAGAAAGTCCAGCCCCAGTCAGAGGGGACCCACTCAGGTACCCTCCCCAGCCCGTGTCCGAGAATAACAGAGGAGGACACAGAGTATGTGATGACATCCAGGTGTCTGTCATCAGCTGGAGAAGGAAGGGGGAGGCAAGGACCAAAGGCCCACCAGCTTCCAGCCTGGGGAAGCCCCTTTGCCCCACCCCCAAGTGGCCACTTTGAGGGGCTAAAGGAACATCCATTCACCACGTACCTACCATATGTGAGCCTGGCATGGGTGTTTCTCATTCTAAACCAAGTGTGGAATACCATGAGATTCTCTAGAGGGAAAGATAGAGGACAGTCCCGAAATCAAGAATGCACAGAAATTGTTTTTTAAGTGAGGGGACACACATACACACAAGCATTTGCCATGAACTCGATGGCTACAGTCATTTTTCCCTCACTGATCACATCTAGTTCAGAGTCAGCACTTGCAGGAGGGGGGCAGGCCTCAGCCAGAGAACCCTCATTAAGGCCCTGAAGTGGGTTGGTGCCAACCCTGAACTTCTGGGAGTGTACGCCAAGATCCGGATGGGCTCCAGCTCCAGCGCTGGGCGGGCCGACCTCTGAGCCACTGATGTTGTCTCCTCCCCTCCCGTTCCCTCTCACCTTCCAGGAAACTCCCAAGAGCCCCTTCCCCAAGCTCCGCAGCCCTCTTTCTCCCAGTTCCGTCCTCATTCATGGAAAGAGCAGTGAGGGAATCTCACTCGCTTATGTTCTCAGAAGGGGACATGCCCGCCATGTTGGCGAAGCCAGTGGTGAGGTTCTGGGAGGATTTGGATGGAGGAAGTTGGCTGTGTGACCTCCTGCTGGGGAGTGCAGCCTGCCTTGGGCCACCCCGTGGGTTCCCAGAAGGCAGATCTGTGAGTCCCAGGGTTGGAGCCTGACTTGGGCCTGTATAGAGAGACTGGGGCTGTGGGGGGGACCCACTTTCATGACATCCTTCAAATGTCACCCCCTCAATGGAGCCTTCTGTGGCTCTCACACGCGTGCCCACTCCCAGTGGAGCGTGTGTTGCAGGATGGTGTACTGGTTCATTCATAACTCTGTCTCCAGCAATGAACCGGACTGTGAGGTTCACATAAACCAGACACGTGTGACCGTCTCCAGCCCCCACAGAAACTTACTCTCAGGTCAGCAGGTGTTTTCTGCCGGGCTCCAGACCCGGTGGAGTGCTGTCACCAAACAAGAGGGATTAAGACAGGAGAGGAGCTGGAACAGCGGCACACCTGCGGCTCTCAGCTATTGTTCCTGGCCCAAAGCCTGTTTCTCATTCGTACCCTGTACCACTCATTCCCCCAGTGTCTGGCTGACTCCCCGACGATCCTGGCCCCGGTCCTGCCTCTGGATGTTCCCAGGGTCCCTGGCTATACCGAAAAATCCCTAGTCCCTGCTGCTGTGTCAGCCCCTTCCAGCTGACACAGTGGGCTAGCAGAGACGCAGCTGGGTCAACAACTCTCATCACAGCTGCCTGGCTAAGGTGGGGCCCTTGTGCCATTCCAGAAGCCCGGAGGAGGGGGAGATGGAGTCACTGGGAAGGTGTCAAGTGCAGGTGGGTCTCCAAGAAGATTGCACCAGGAAAACCTGCACCCAGAGAAACGCTCTGGCCACCCACAAGACCAGGAAGCCTCTTCTGCAAGGGAACTTTGTGGACAGACTCCAAGCCCCTGAGATGGGCATTGTGTCATTCTATGGTCCAGGGAACTGACCTAGCAGTGGCTTCCTTGTTACCTGGTATTCGTCACCGGGCTCACCTCGTCCCTGGAAGTGGGAGGGTATGAGGAGGCTGCGTGTGACAGCGGGAGGTGAGAGGCTGGGCAGCCCATCAGCAGGCAGACTGCTAGCCGCTCCGGACCGGGGCTTGTCAACCCACAGTGACACATTGAGTCAGACCTCCCCATCGCTCCGTACTAGAGATAGTAGTCACTGGGACTTGGGCACTGCACTGGGTTTGGGGTTCGCTTTGGCAAAGCCATTTCATACCTATTCCCTCCGCAGTTCCGCAGTGACCCGTGAGGCCCACCCACCAGCCTTCCCCCAGGACCGCAGCACAAGGAGTGTGAAGGGCCACGCGGGCCTCAGGCCCAGGCTCACGCACTGTCCAGTGCATGGATAATGGTATTTTGCAAATACAGGCAGGGAAGTGGGAGTTGGGGCTCAAGGAGGCATGTGGGTGGGCCCTAGGGGCTTGCATGGTTGACGGCCTCTGGAGGGGACAGCGATCTAATGGGCAGTGAGAGCTGGTTGTTAAATGTTTGAGAGTTCTGTAAGTCAGTTCCTAAACCAGCTGGTAGCTTGAAATTGGACCTGGTGGGAGTACAGACACCACAGATAGTAGCAAATTCTTTTTTTTTTTTTAAGATTTTATTATTATTTATTTATTTGACAGAGAAAGAGAGAGATCACAAGTAGGCAGAGAGGCAGGCAGAGAGAAGAGGAAGCAGGCTCACTGCTGAGCAGAAAGCCCGATGCGGGGCTCGATCCCAGGACCCTGAGATCTTAACCTGAGGCTTAACCCACTGAGCCACCAAGGTGCCCCGATAGTAGCAAATTCTTAACCAGGACTTTTTTTTCCCCTGGAAAGCCAACTGGACATCACACCCCTGCGGGGGTGGGGGGTCCTCGGTCACTCCCTCTCTCTGGGGCAGGCTAAGCCCCATCCCCAGTGATTAACAAATTTATCGATATCTCCACTCCTGACTACCTTTCTTACCCACCTTGCCCTTTACATTTGCCATAATAACCTTTACACTCCTGGTCCTTTGGCTTGAGGTGGGTGGCCCTCCTCAGAGCAGACTTGCAGGTGTTCTGCTCGAACGCTCCCCTCTGGATCCCCAGACAAAAGCACACAGCACTCTCATCTTTATGGAGAGAGCAGGAAGGCCTTGAGTTTAGGAACTGGTCTCAGGCTAGGATCAGGAACATGGTGAAGTAACTTCTCAAGGTCCCTTACCCCTTGGGAGAAGCCATAAAGGGAACATGCTAGAACCATTCAGGGACCTTGGAATTGGTATGCTAATCCACAGTAATGAGCTAAACCAGCTGGGGCAGGCCAGGGGCTGCTGCCTCCTCCCAGAACCTAGGAAATCATGGTTAATTATTGACAAGTACAGGTATCAGGGCGGGAACACCCTCTTCATTACCCATCAGCATCTCCTGAGTGTGCTCGGAAGCAGGTACACCATACTCAACCGGAAAGGAGGCAAACCAGGACAATAAACAGGAAGGACCGAGGGAGTCCCCACCCTCCACACCCCCTCACTGAGAATCTGGGGCTGCCTCTGGCTAGCACCCCAGCCCCCAAATCAGGGTCACCCTGGGAGCTGGAGGGGGAGAGAGCAGAGGGACTTACCAGGGCAGCACAGGAAGGCTGAGTTGGGGGACAGGAGGTACATGTGCTCCAGCCCAGGAGGCTCCGTGGGCAGTTATCACCCGACGTCACTCGGGGCTCTGTGCTCAGAAAGGCCAAGCTGGCTTTGGCCGGCCGCTACGGCTGTCCTGAAATTCCCAATAATTTTGAACAAGGGGTCCCACGCTTTCATGCTGACCCAGGCCCTAGGGAGTACACCGCTGGTTTTGTACCCACCTGATCCGACGGGGGCTTCTCAGCCACATCCCCATCCACTCGGACATGCACCTACCCCTTCACACCGCACTCAGATCGGCTGTGCTCCCTGCACAACTGCACACACCTCCTGTACGTGTAAGACCTATGCCATCCATGCAAACACGGTCACCCTGCAGTCCTCAGTTTGAAACGGCTCTGAAATTGTGCAACTTGCGCACAGACGTCAGCTCCCACCTTTCATTTCCCAGGTGTGTTTGCACGCACATTTACACGCACATTTACACGGACTATTAAAATCTGATTTATTGGAGGCACCTGCTGTTTATCAGCCTCTGGGCACACTTGTTGGCTCAGAGAACTAGGCAGGTCCCATCACCATGGCGGACAAGCTAATGAAAACAGGACGCAGATGTTTAACAGCCTTTTGAAGAGTTGCAGACAGACATGCACGTGCAGACTGACCATGTGAAGCAATCCCAGTCACAGGCCCACAGCTCTGAAAGTGGGTCATCCTGCCCTCTGCCTCCCCCCTCCCCGACTGTGTGGGGCCAAGGACACCACGGCCTCCCATCCTCCCCTCTCTGGGCACTCACCACCACGAGTAAGGTCCTAAGTGCCATCCCCTGTCCCATACACTTCCCCCTGCCCGTGCAGAGGCCCCAGTCCTAGGGCTTGGGTGCGTGGGTGGGTGTGCAGGGTCGATGGCATGGCTCCTACGAGAAGGGCCCACAGTTGCTTCTGGTGTTCTGCTTCAGTGGGGCATGGCATCAGGTCTTCCAAATGAAAAGAAGGGCAAAGAGGTGAATTCTACACAAAAATCCAATTAGGGATTCAGATCAGAGACCAAGGTGGGGCTGGCGGGCTCTGACCAAAGCAATGCTTGTGGGGAAAACCAAGGCACCAGCAGGTTCCCTATTCCCAAACCACAAAGCCTCTGACTACCAGCACTGCCGTTCCCAAGCAGGAAGTACCCAGTATTCACATCAGTCATGGCCAAAGGCATTAGCAGAGGTAGCTTTTCCTTAACTGGTCCCCCTCCTTGATCCCTGCCACTGCCCTGACTGAACAGGCACTTCTGCCCATGGGGCCCTTCCCCAGTTATCTACTGTTCCCGAACCTCTCTTTGCCCATCTGGATTGCCCTCCACCTTCCTTTACCATCAGTTCAGAACCCTTCTATCAGGAAACCGCCGAGCACAGCCCACCAGCTGAACCCACTCCGTCAGCAGGCAGCAAGATGCCTGGGTGCCCACTGTGGCCCTGG